ATCACAGCTAGACCCGGCTGGGAGCTATTTCAGATGTTTGTTTTGTTGTGGAGCTCAGGGGATGTCCACAGCAGACCTTGTGGATCTATTTCACAGCTGTAAATTAAGTTTTTGTAAGCCTTGAATGGTGGCACTGAAATGGGGCATACTGACACAGAGATAATAATCGGCTGAATGGCACATCTGTCAATATAAGGTGCAGATCTTCAGGAAGGATGTGGTGGGAGGGGGAATGTTCCCTCAAATATTCCCTAGAAATAGAAGTGACAGCATGTGATAATAAAGCCTCCTTCAGAAGCAAACCTTATAAAAGGGACAATATTATACTGCAAATAAACTCCTCTTCTCTGATGCCCGAGTGCTGCTCTTGATAGCTTGAAAGGTGCCATTGCCAAAGAGAAAGGAGTCAAGCAACGGATACAGAAAGCTGTGATCGCACTACCCGACTTTATTTTTCAAAGGAGGTTTTATATTGTATCCAATTCCAGCTGTCAATCACAACTTTTATTAAACCACAAAAGTGATGTCAGATCAATGGTGTTTTAAGACACGTTATGACTGACAGCCTGATGATGGAGCAATTTCGGGAACCATTTATTATTAAACAAAGACTAATGCTTCTCTCCCCCCCCCATTCTTCTTTAGGAAGGAATGATGTACATCTTCTGGCATGTCTAACCAAGCAAGGCATAAGTTGAACAGAAACACTAATTGTTCATATGTGTACAGAATATATATTATCAATGAGACAATCCAAAAGAAGATGGAATTTACCAGGGAAAGAAAGAAATTAAGCTCCTAATTCAAAGGCCCTTCATCTATATCTGCGTAATGGAAAAATTAATGACATAGTTCATCAGGAAGTTGTTTCCTCTGGACCCCACACATTCAGTTTTGGATTCTCCTTTATCCATTCTCCCGCAAGGCAGCTAAGATGCCCCCAAAAGGAGATGGGATCGACTAGTGGTGGAAGGATTTCTTCATGGAGGGGGAGCTTGGAAGCTATAGTCTTCATGCCTCTTCCAGTCCTATGTCAGTGGTTTCAAAATTTCCTCCAATTTTTGCTGTCTCAAGCTTTCAGACATCTGCAGAAGCTGGGCATGAGCAGTCAGTCTTTATACATTCATCCATCTTTTGTCAGTGGCAGCTTGCCCAGCTGACTAGAAAGTATGAGCTGTGGTTGCATAGCACACCTAATATGTCTGTGGCCTGGTGAGGGTAGTCTTTCCATAGATATTGACACTCTGACCGATTTCACACAAGAGCTGTGCTGCGGTTGCGCCTCCCTTTGCCCCGCTTCTATTGGTCAATTTCCCACTTGAAGCCATGCGGCCGCATTTTGACTCGCAGCTTCACCTGATTTTCCTTGCTGTTTTGTGATCCTCAAAAAACAGGATCACAAAACAGCAGGGGAAATCGGGCAAAGCCGTGGGTCAAAATGCGGCCTAGAAAGTATGAGCTGTGGTTGCATAGCACACCTAATATGTCTGTGGCCTGGTGAGGGTAGTCTTTCCATAGATATTGACACTCTGACCGATTTCACACAAGAGCTGTGCCGCGGTTGCGCCTCCCTTTGCCCCGCTTCTATTGGTCAATTTCCCACTTGAAGCTGTGCAGCCGCATTTTGACCCGCAGCTTCACACGATTTTCCCTGCTGTTTCGTGATCCTCAAAAAACAGAATCACGAAACAGCGGGGGAAATCGGGTGAAGCCGTGGGTCAAAATGCGGCCGCGCTGCTTCAAGTGGGAAATTGACTAATAGAAGCGGGGCAAAGGGAGGCGCGACCGCAGCACAGCTCTTGTATGAAATCAGTCTCTGTCTTGCTTTACTGCAACCTATTTTGGGACTACCAATACATGAGCCAAAAGGAAAAGTGGGGTATAAATGTTTGAATGAATGAATGATCATCAGATCCCCATTTGATCTGCTGAGAGTGAGGCTGCACATTATTGAGTGTTAACTTGTGTATGCGACAGACAATCTCAGGGCTTCTATCAATGAGACAGGTGAAATTTGCTTTGCAGAGTTAATTAGATTGCGGGGTTGAGGGGAACTAGATTTGAGTTCAGTAGCACCTTAAAGACTAACAAGCTTTTGAGGCTATAAGCTTCTGAGAGTTAAAGCTCTTCTGCTGCTGATCAATATGACTACTCACCTGGAACTACCTTTACGAGGAAAAAAGTTTGCAAGCTGGCCTTTCAGATAAGTGCATACAAATCTACATCAGTCATTTATGCCACTATTTGTAACTACACTTAGAGCAAATTATTTGTTGGGAAACCCTGAGGAAGGCAGTTTTGGCTGAGACATATGCTATGATGATTAACAAAATGGTTTGTCAAGGGAAGCAAATGTATGAAAGCCTTTTAATAAAAGCATTTTGCATATTGCAAGCTTTTAAATTAATCTGGGACAGAATGGAGCATACACTAACAACGCAGAATAGTTGATTAGATCCTGCTTGTTTGTCGAAAACAGCTTGTTGAAAGGTAGCCAATGGTCCGTTTATAGCACCCTCTTGCAAATTTTTAAACTACAACATTAGACGTATGAGCACAGTGGAAATTTATTGTTCATGCCTTGTATTTTCCATAAAACGTGGCCCTATTGAGATAATTACAGTCATGGTCTTTTTCTCATCTGGCTGGAGTCATATGGATTGCAGGGCCCTGCAAAGATTCACCTCAGCATAAGAGACCAGGACTTCTACCAAATGAAGTGGAAACTGGTTCAAAATAATTAATCCCCAAATCCTGATGAAGACTAAAGCCTGCTGGGAAAAGAATCCAGAGCAAAGGGTCACTCCGTTCCTTGTAGACATATTAAGACTGAAGGCATTTTTTACTTCGAAAGCTCCCAGTAGGTCAGAATCGTGAAACATTATTCTTGAAGACCGTAGCCAGAAACTGGCCCATAAAACTCCCCAAGAGTTTGGGTTATTTAAAGACATTAAGAATTATTCCATGCTGCTTTTTACTGGATGGCAGCTCTTAGTTTAGAAGTTAATTTGCTGACTGAGTGCAATGGCATGGGAAAAAATACCAGAGTACTTGGTTAAGGTGAAAAATAGTTTCTGAAAAGATTATGTTTGGTTGACAGAAGAGTTTGACTACAGCAATATGACAGTCTCAAACTAAGTTTTTATAGAATGTTCTACTGTTATAAATGGCAGAGTCCCCTTTGTGACTTTACAGAGTGCTGTGATACTTAAAGGAAACTTAAGCTGCAAATATCCATGGACAGTAGCAAAAAATTAGGTTAATTAAAGAGCACAGATACACACAGGTTCGATTAAATATTAGACTTGAGATTTTCTTTTTTCTCTTTGTAGACATCTGTTCCTTGGATTAATTTAAAATAGCATAGCTTTCCTCTGGTAGATGAGGAAGCACCCTCACGACAAGCACTTCCAAAGAGTAACCCTCTTAAGTAAATCTGTGCCGTGCATCATCCAAAGGAAGAAGCTGCACATGTGCTCTGACACTGCTGTGATCCCTGCTGAGGTTACAGAAACATGGCTGCATCACATCCCAAAAGGACACAGGTCACAGGGCTATGCTTAGTTCATTTCAGAGCCCAGGACTAGTAATCGATGGGGAGTAACATTGGGAAGGCTCTTTTTATCATATGTGGTGGACTTGTGATAAAGCTGTAGCTTTTTGGACAGAAGTTCATAATGAAATGCAGAAAATCCTGAAATGTACATTTAAAAAAGAGCCGGAAGTATTACTTTTAGGGCTCAAGATGGAGGAAGTAAATGTAACAAAAAAGACATTGTTATGGTATCTGATTACTACTGCTAGAATGACATATGCACAATCTTGGAAACAGGACAGAGTACCAGAGAAATGGGAATGAATACAGAAAATGCTTTTTATGGCTGAAATGGACAAGCTGACAAAGAAACTTAACAATAAAGAAGACGAAGAATTTTGTACAGAATGGACAGACTTTAAAGAATATATGGAAACTAATTGGGATGTTAAAAATAATCTACTTTGCTTTGATAATTATTAAGAGCAGAGCTGGTAAAAGAAAGTGACTGAACAGTAGAACATAATGTTACCTGGAAATCTGATAGTGAAAATGTAATTTGATGGTGGAATAGTAAAAGGGAGGGGGGGGAGCATTGCAGGAAGCCGCAAGAAGGGGGGGGGAGAAAAGAGAAATGGATATATGTTAAAAGAAATGAAAAGGTGTAATGTTGAATATGTGGTTATATCCAAAAATAAAAAGTTTAAGGGAAAAAAACCAATGGGGAGTCACATTAGCCATCAAAGAAAGCAAAGCAGAGGCCTGAGTGCATGCAGCTTTACAAACATCCTTTCCTGATACTAGATATTAGTTACCATTTCTAGCTCTTTGTAGGTAGGGTGAATGATTATTATCTTGCAGAATTTAAAAAAAAACACACCCAACAACAGTAATTGACCAAACACTGGCAAATGTCACATTATAGCTTTTTATTCAAACACGAGGAAATGTACGGAAGACAAAAATATCCTTGGAAAGTTGGCTCAAATTGAACTTTTAATATTTCTAATGAAAGAGGTGAAAATTAGCACAGGGAGTTTTGGGACAACAGTGGGTGAGGAGATCTGATCCACAATCCCAAGAGTTGCCTTTCGATTAATGAATAGCAATCCCCTAACAGTTACACATCATTTCTTCTGTGTCTGCATTACCATTAGTACAGATAATTCTTTGGCTAATTACTGAGTAAAAGGCTTTTTAGTTTGGAAGACATAATATAAAGCTGGCATGCATGTTTTATTAAATTACTAATTGGACTTATATTCCCAAGATGCCATAATGTGCTCTTTCAACTCTTTATTTTATGTCATGTCAGCGTAAGAAAAAAGAGGGAACAGAAATCTTATTATCTATGGAAATATTCAAATAACAAAGACTGTAATGTAAATGAACTGATTAACTGGAGAATGATGCTGAGACTCCCTAGAAAGTAACAAAGCACTGTTTACTTGAAGCACAGTCTTACCGTTCCTGTTGTGCCCAAGGAAAGATGATTCATCTGTTGTGTCAAGGGGCCCATCATACTTGCTGGCTGCATGGACATCGTGTGATCCATTGTTGGCGTTAACACAGCACCCTACAAACACACATATGGCTCATCACAATATATACTCAATCTACACAGCTTATTTTGTCTCTTCAATTACAAATGGCTGGAGTCAGTTTCCATTAACAAAGAAAACAAAACCAAACAAACTATTTTGAAATAATCACTCACACCAAAGAAGCCTGATTTTTTTTTAAAAAGATACCCAACCTTAAACACTCACCATAAAAAAGCAGACAAAGCAGCAAATAAAATTAGCAATTTTTTAAAACACCATCATACAAAAAGTTTAAAAAAAACATATATGGTAAAAAAAGGCAAGTTTAAAATGCCAAGGAAAGCATAGTTGTCTTAGCCTGATGCCAAAACATAGTCAAATGTGGCGTCATGTAATGGGCAGGGGAATGACATTCTGTTATAGACCAAGTGTCACAACCGAAAACCCCTTGTCCATTGAGTGCCACCTGCCTACTCTCTGAAAGTTTGAGATGAAAGAACGATAATTATTTATTTAAAATCATTGTGCTCTTCACTCTAGAGTTGCCAAATCCAGGTTGAGAAATTCCTGGAGATTTTGGGGTGGAGTGTAGGGAGGCAGGATTTAGAGAGGGGAGGGAGCTTATTGGGGGTAGGATGCCAAACAGTCAAAGTAGCCATTTTCTCCAAGGGATATGATCAATGGAGATCAGTTGTAACTTCAGGGGTCCTCCAGACCCCACCTGGAGGCTGTCAACCCTACTTCACTCTCAGCTAAAAGCTCATGAGGCAGCTCACATAATTTAAAAATGATGACCTGGAAATCGGTGGAAAGGTTAGGACTGGAGACATGGGGGTGGGTGTGATGCTGGTGACTTGACTTTACTGATATTGATGTGTCACTCCTCGGCTTTACCATACAGTTTCCAGCAATTTCTAGAGCTACTCTTTGTCAGGTCCTCCCAGGCCACCAAAGGGGGATTGGGGGGATAGGGTTGCCAAATCCAGGTTGGGAAACTCCTAGAAATTTGTGGATGGAGCCTGGGGAGGACACGGACCTCAGTGGGATACAGTGCCATAGAGTCCACCCTCCAAAGCATTCATTTTCTCCAGGGGAACTGGTCTCTGTTGTCTGGAGATGAACTGTTACTCTAAGGGATCCCCAGGTCCCACCAGGAGGCTGGCATAACTATACCCAGAAATGATGTAGCGATGTTGGTGACAGAAGTGGTTTTTAACACTGGTCTTTCAACACTGCTCTAAGCAGTGAAGGGCAACGAGGTTTGCTGGTGGGACACCTCATGCCATAGAGAGGCCACTAGCAGAACAATTAAAGTGAAAACAACGACTGAAAAAAATGGAGTTAGCCATCAACAATCCATAAAAACCTGGGAATACAGAAGTGGTTTCACTTGACAACTTGCTCAACAAGCTTGGCACCAGGTGAACAACTGCAAAAGAAGAGCTCCAGACAGAAGCCCCACTTGGGTATCCTTTGGTAACATCTGCATAAAAGGCACCCACGTTGTATGTGAAAGAAAGGACATACTGAAAAGGGCCTCTGAGAAACAAAGACCTGTTGGGCATGAAATAAGTAGTCTTTTCCATACCCCAATCCTCCAGTCTATTAAGTCTCTAAAGATAAGAACTAGCACTTTGAATTGTGCCCAGAATGAATTAGGAGTTAGAGTAGGGTTGCCATCCGCCTATGGGGGTGGAGGATTAACCACTTTTGGGGGCCCCAATTTGCTGTCATTCAGCTGGCCAGCGGGGGAGCCCCACCCCAAGCAGCCCCATCCACGCCAACGTGCCCAGTGTAATGATGTCACCCGGAGGTGATGTCATCACGCAGAGCATGTTGTCTGTGTGGGGGACACTCTGGCATCTGAGAAAAACTCTATGGTAACCAGGATATCCAGGTCAGCAGGCTGGAGCTCCCTGCTGGCAACAGGTAGGGACCTGGCAACCCTAAGTTAGAGTTGTACTATCAACACTAGCAAGTTATATTTCCCTCTACTGATCTAATAGTTTCCCTAAGCTATAAAACTGTTCCTTTAAGGGGACTGCAATCCTATCCAGAACAGGATCGCTTTTCACTCCCTAATATTATCAACCAATGGCAACACCCAATCAAAGTAGACTGTTGAATCCAGAAAACCTATTAATGGATCCATGTGGAGAGGAACTTAGGTGGGCCATGGCTTGAGAAGACAAGTAATTAGACCCATCCCCCTACAAGGGTTTGTCAGTGGAAACTGACTCCTCCTGGGCTGCTATTAGCCCTGGAAGGCAATAAAGACAAGGCATCATTGCTCTCCTTGCCTGTCTTTCTGCCTTTTCCCTCTGGGGTGGGTTTGACTAGCAACTCCACATGGAAAAGGGTTAAGCTGCTCTCTCTTCCTGCACTGTGATCTCAACCAGGCCATGAGGCTACACTAGAACTTTAAAAATGGCTGGGGAGGCTCATTTATGCACCCCCCGCCCAGCATTGCACCCTAGTCTGCACGCAGGCTTGTCTGAACTGAGGCTACGTTTACTGAACTCCATCAAGGCCACTACAGCTTTCACATCCTGCTGTTCAGATCAGACTATCCATTGCTCTGTCATCTGATTTTACTGAAAAGGTTGTATGTCATCAGTGTACTGATGACATTTCACTCCATGTTAAGGATCTAAACCAATGCTTACCTTATATAAAATGAAAAAATTGATTCATGCACATCACCAGTCAGCGTGAGGGCAAAATGAGTAATCTGCCTCAGGTGACAGATTTGGGAACCTTATCCAAGAACAGCATTGTCAAGTTATTGAGATTATTATATTTCTCTCAACGTGCAGGTCATTTTCTGCCTTAGGCACCAAAAGACTGGGTGGTGAGTTAGTGGTTGGATGGACAGATGGCTAGATAGAGAGAGGAAAATGGCATATGTCCTGGGAATCACTTTCTGAAACAAGTCCTTACTTGTACTAAGGGGTGGATTTGGGGCAGGTGACCCAGGTAACCACTTGGTGCATGCCTTTTACAAGCAATCTACTCAGCAGCTGAACTAGAACAAGCTAAGGCCTGAAGTTAACATTCTGAGTCTCTCACCTACTGTAAATGCCATTCTACCTAATCTTGGTGCACAGTTAAATATCTTGGTGTCAGTATATTTAATTTACTCTTGAAATTAAAATCTTCTATAAAACTGGAGGAAACATTTTGGGTTGTTGTTTTTTGCTGACCTCTGACATAGATAAATGTAGCTTTATAGAGCTTAGCATGCAAATTTATTGTCTTATATGACAGGGATAAATCATGTATGCAAATCATGCATCAAGGTCATGAAATGGGCCTACAAACTGTTTTTTAAAAACTGAACAAGTGGTGGGGGGCACCAAAGATATTCATTTGGTCAACAGACCGCTCTGCTGATGGGGAAAATTAGCCTTGTGGTCCTAATGAGGTTGTTCCTAATTTAGATTATATTTGGTTTTGTGCTCCTAACAAACATATCTATGTTGCACTACCTTTGACGAGCATCAAAACAAAGCAGAATGCTTCTCATTTAACATTCTAAGAACAGCATACTTGAAACAATGGCATTCACCAAGATTGCACATGTACCATTTTTTTCTCATATAGCAGAACAGTTCCTGAGTGCAACTTAGCTTGGCCATTAGTATGCTTTTCCAGGTGCAAGGATGAACCTTCATTCATGACACGTTTTATCAAAGAAGCCTAAATTAGGACCAATTATTAAAATAAAGAGCCACCAATACAGAAAATGCCTATAAGTTAATGTACAGGCTTACACGGGTGCAGGTAGTTTTTGGGAAATTTATTTGCGAACAGACTCTCCCGCTACTTTTGGAACTTTGTGTGTGTTCATCTCTGGATGTGACCATGATCTGTACATATAGTGTGTATGATGTAGCATCTTGAGTATAGACAGAATGAGCCACAGATCAAGGACGTACGAGACAGAAGGAATACTTTAGGGTAACCATGTAAGATCATGGATACCCTTGTGCCAGGAAGTAGCTCTAGTCCTGACAGGAATTTATCTTCCTCCTCTCCAAATGCTGTCAGCAGTATTGATTATTAATTCTCCTCAAGCACTGGAGTGCAGTTTCTCAAGTCTAGCATCTTGCTAATATCAATACGTTCAATTAATGCGTGAATCTCCTTTGCTGGCAGGATGGTGGGGAGCAAGAGATTAAGTTTAGTGGTGAAGATATGTGTTTATAGTTCCCACTCCAAGACGGAGAAAGGATTTTTGAAGGCAAGCAATATGTTTGATAGGAGAATCAATTCTGCCCTGACTTACAATCATAGCACTAAACAACAAGTGAGGTATTGGTATTTGGAACACTCTCCATTTTAGAGCAAGTGTGATCTGCAGACATACATGCTAACCTACTTACAAGAAACTGGTATATATCACTTGAGGAAAGCTAAGAAGGGATTTCACTTGCAAAATGTCAAGTCCCTGTATGACATAGTCCTCCTCTAGGCAACTTTGTAAATTTCACCACACTTATTAAGGTAAATGCTACAAATGTGTATCCCCCCTTATTTTTTCCTGCCAAGATGAGAACAAGCAGATAAGTAAATCGCTTAATGCTTCAGTACTTTCTAATAGCCAGTATTCCTATGAACAGCTTCCAATCATTGTCTATATATCCAGGTGAAGATCTTTTGTTTCTTCTGACTGAGATCTTTTATTCTCAGGTCTATTCTTGTTGCTTATTCCCCTTTAACCAAATATTGCAATAGCTGAACTAACAGTATACAATGGTCTTTACCTCAAGGAAACTGACATTTTAAGGGGTACTCAATATTTTGTTGTTGTTCAGTTGCACAGTCGAGTCCGACTCTTCGTGACCCCATGGACCAGATCATGCCAGGCCTTCCAGTCTTCCGGCGTCCTCTGACGTTTGCTCAACTTTATGTTCGTTGCATCTAGGACACTGTCTAACCATCTCATCCTTTGCCGTCCCCGTCTTCTTTGACCTTCAATCTTTCCCAGCATCAGGGTCTTCTCCAGGCAGTGTTCCCTTCTCATTTGGTG